TTGCTTGTTTGTCTTGCCCAGATGGTGGCCAAGCTACCAACCCTCCATCATCCATCAGACCTGAGCCTGCCTAGGACAACCAGCCCACAGCCACGGTCCATCTAGACTCCTCTTGGAATGGTTTGGTGGTCTAACCCTGCCCAAGGGGTGGGCTGGTCTTCCCTTATAGGTGGTCACCATTCACTTGATAACTCCATTTATAGTTACATCTGCCAAGAAAAAGTCACGTACAGGGACACGGAAAGAGCCCCAGATCTGTGCCATGTGTCCCTGGGCCCTGGGGGTGGCTAGAGGGGGCCAGGGAAGGTGGGGGGACCTGTCAGCTTGCTGCTGGTGGGCAGCATGGTGGGGAGGGTTGGTTGCTCATCCTTTCTCCATCATCTGTCTTCTTGCTCTGATTCCCATTTCAGGGAGTGACGGTGTAGTGGGATGCCCCACTGGGGGGAAACAAATCCTTCCTGTGCACAGTCCTACTAGGACAGAAAGCCCTGCCCGATGGGCTGACCACCTCCAGCCAGACCTCTACATCCTCCAAGCCAACCAGCAGCTCTGTAGAAGGGGAAACACAGCCCACGGAGCTGGTGGAGCCTGGCCAGGAGAGAAGAGGAGCTCCCACCAGAGCTGGTCCCAGCTTGGTGGCCACAGAGTGATGCTGGGCAGGATGCTCCATTGGGACAGGCATGTTCCTTGCCTGCAGTGACACCCTTGGTGGAAGCTCTGGGATCTCTACTAATGCTCTGCTCCCATATAGCTGCCACCTCACCTTCTAGCTCTCAGGACAAGACACAGTATTGCGCCCTGGGGATTTTCTCCCATGATGAGACATGTGGATTCACTCCCGGGGACCTTCCTGATGGAGATCCACCTCAGCACCAGGGTGGCTTGGCTGTCCATCCTCCTCACAGTCACCCTGACCAACCTCTCACTGCAGAAATCCCTGCCTGCAGCCTACCAAGACCAGGCAGGTCCCCAGAAGGACACGGGCCTGATCCAGTGTGGGGAGTACAGCAACCAGGTGCTGCCCAACGGCCGCTGCAAGATCGTGGCCACGTTGCCGCAGGGGGACGAGCAGCGCTGCCCGGACATGTTCCGCTGCACCGACGAGGTGTCCTACTGGCTGCACGAGAACGAGGAGCGCAAGCAGCAGGTGCTGGAGCTGAGGGAACTGATCTCAGAGCTGCACGAGGAGCTGAGGAACCACCGGCACCGCATCAAAATCCTGGAGCTCCAGGTAAAGGGCTGCCCTTGGCAGAACCCCTCCCCGCGGGGACCCACCGTCCCTCCCTGCTGTCCCTTCCAGCTCCCAGGAGCTGTGGGGGAGAGCACTGGGTGAAGAATATGGTGTTGTTCTGACCATGAGCTGGGATCTCCATGAAACCTCAGCAACTAGTACTGCACTGGCTCAGGACCCCATAAGTCTTTGGTTTTCAGACTTCCCACATCCATCCCCTGGTGACATTTTATCCCTTAGGGATTGTTTAATCTTTCCATCCTCAGTCCCAGCTCTTTGCACTGGCCCCAAAACCGACTTCTGTGCTACCTGGAGCTGCAGCTCCTCCACTGACCTCTCCAGCTCAGGACCAAGAAGGGCGATGGATAGTCATGTGCTAGATATTTTCCCTGCAGTCTTCATGCTCTTAATCCATCCTTCATTTCCAGGCTCAGAAATGACCCATCTAAAGACAAAGCATCTGGTCTCTGGCAGCTGTGAAGGGTCAGAGGGAAGAGGGAGGAGAACAACCCTTCCTCTAGAGATGTGGGTTGCCTGGTGGTGGCTGTAGAGAGAGCTGAGCAGACAGACAGGACAGGACACTATGTGTTTAGGAGAGGGAATTCAACGTGGAGCACAGGCCCCATGTCCCCTTAACACCAACGCTCATATCTTGAACCTTCTCACTCTGCTGGTCTCCTCCTGTTCACCAAGTTTGCTAATCAGTTACACACACAATTCAATTAACTTGGTAAATAAAAAACCCCGAGGTCTTTCCAGCTGCTGGTGTTTGGACCTCAAATATGCACAGACACCTGCTCATAAACACACACACATATAGAGACACGCACACATCTGCATGTATTTGCACATAAACACATGGTGAGGCTGCACCTCAATTCCTGGGGTCCCTCATGACAGAAGGACCTGGGGCTGGAGCTTGTCCAGGGAAGGGCAGTGGAGATGGGGAAGGAACTGGAGCACAAGTGTGATGAGGAGAGGCTGAGGGAACTCGGGGTGTTCAGCCTGGAGAAAAGGAGGCTGAGGGGAGACCTTCTTGCCCTCTGCAACTGCCTGAGAGGAGGTTGGAGCCAGGGGGAAGTTGGTCTCTTCTCCTAAGGAACAAGCCATAGGAGAAGAGGAAATGTCCTCAAGCTGTGCCAGGGGAGGTTTAGATTGGATATTGGGAACAATTTCTTCCTGGCAAGGGTTGTCAGGCCCTGGCCCAGGCTGCCCAGGGCAGTGGTGGAGTCCCCATCCCTGGAGGGGTTTCAAAGCCAAGTAGCTGTGGTGCTGAAGGACGTGGTTTGGTGGTGGCCTTGGCAGTGCTGGGGTAACAGTTGGACTCAATAACACTAAGTCTGTTTCAACCAAAATGATTATCTGATTCTATGACTCTGTGTTCATTCAGTAGGACAAGGCCACTAGCTGGCATCTGGTTAGACATGTCCAGCCCTTTTTAACTTGCCCATCTCTCCATTTTCCTACACTCACCCGCTACCACATCCACCCTGCCCAGTTCTCTCCCCACCCTTAGCCTTTTCCCTGAGCATCCCATAATTAGTCTCACACAGTCCCACAAGCCCTTAATCATTCTTCCCCCTTCTTATCTGCTGCAGGGTTGATGGATCATCTCCAAGGCCATGCCCCAGCAGGTCTCCTCCTGGCCCATTGGCAGTGGCTGAAGCCTCTGCTTGCCAATTTTGACTCCCTTATCACCCGCCTGGTGACTCCTATGTCACTGCTTTGTTTTGTTACCCCTTCCCCTGCTCTTTACTGGGTTTTGTTGTACGGAATCATCCTTAGACAGGGTGTGGATGCTCCCACACTGTACTCTGGCACTCCAGCCTATACCTGGCAGCTGGGCAAAAGCTGGTGGACAGGAGTGGTTCTGGAATAGCATCAAATGGTGGCATTCATAGAATCCTAGAATTATCTGGGTTGGAAGGGACCTTAAAAATAATCTAGTCCCAACTCCCGGCATTGGGCAGGGCCCCCTCCCCCCAGACCAGGTTACTCCAAGCCCCATCCAACCTGCCCTTCAACACTGCCAGGGATGGGGCAGCCACAGCTGCTCTGGGCAACCTGGGCCAGGGTCTCACCACCCTCACAGCAAAGAATTTCTACCTCAAATCTCATCTAAATCTCCACTTTTGCACCTTGAAACCATTCCCCCACCTGCCATCACTCCCTGTCCTTGTCAAAAGTCCCTCCCCAGCTTTCCTGTATCCCCTTCAGGTCCTGGAAGTTGCTCTAAGGTCTCCCTGGAGCCTTCTCTTCTCCAGGCTGAACAATACCAACTCTCTCAGCCTGTCTCCAGAGCAGAGCTGCTCTAGCCCTCGCATCATCTCCATGTCCTCCCCTGGACTTGCTCCAACAACTCCTTGTGATTCTTGTGTTGGGGACCCCAGCACTGGACCCAGCACTGCAGGGGGGTCTCACCAGAGCAGAGCAGAGCAGAGGGAACAACCCCCTTCCATGCCCTGTTGGTCACTGCTGGTGATACAGCCCAGGACATGGTTGGACAGCATGTTGGGCTGCAAAAGTTTGGAGAACTCATTTCTCCTCAGTGTGAGCCCAGGTGAGCAGTTCTGAAGGAGTTGTGTCTGCTGTGGAGTGCTGCTGGGCTTCTTACCCTACAAGTAGAGCAGAAGGACACAGAGTGCACCCAGGTGTCCCAGAGCAGCCAGATCCCACATCCTACCTAGGCCGGGCTGGTCAAATGGGAGGTGTCCTTGCCATGGCAATGATTTGTAACTAGGTTATCTTGGAGGTCCATTCCAACCCAAATCAGTCAGGGATTCTATGATCTGCAGGTGGTTCACACCTGGAGGACAGTGCCAGCAACATCTGTGTCACCAAGATACTGCTACACTCAGAAAGCCTCATCTCCCCACTGGCTTCAGAACTCTCCCATATGGAGTTTTCCCACTGCCTTGGTCTGGCCACTTCCCAATGCCTGTCTCAGTCTGGGAAGCTGCTTACCTCCTGCCCCCTTGCATCTCCCCAGAATGGCACTGCCAAATTCCCTGCTGTGTCAGCCTGGGTAGGTCTCCTCCACCTCTGTTCCTCTCACCAAGGAGGTGTTACTCCATTAATCCACCTTCATAAATTACCCTCTGGCTGCTGTTGGTTGGTCTCTCTGGGGTTTGGTGTCATTTATTTCTTCAGGAGCTCAGTGTGGGCTTGTCTGTCCAAGCAGAGACATCTCTGAGTTAAGCATCCCTTTTGGAACTGAGGGAGAACAGCAGGTTCTTTCAGGTCACAGCTCCTCTTGGGCTAATGGGGACACAAAAATCCATTGAACCATAGAATAGTTTTGGTTGGAAAAGACCTTTACAAACATTAAGTCCAACCTTAACTCAACACTACCAAGGCCACCACTAAACCATGTCCCTCAGCACCACAGCTGCATGACTTTGAAACCCCTCCAGGGATGGGGACTCCACCACTGCCCTGGGCAGCCTGGGCCAGGGCCTGACAGCTCTTTCCAGGAAGAAATTGTTCCCAATATCCAATCTAAACCTCCCCTGGCACAACTGGGTCAGCCAGGTTGACTTCCCTCCTTCCAGTGCAGTTTAGGGAACCCCTTTTGGAGTAGAATCAAGGCACTAAGGTGGTGGTCTGGCTGCACTGGTTTTAAACAGCAGCAGGGTTTAAAAAAAAGGCCTCAGCTGTGGAGGAGGGACCTGTCTGGAAGAAAACATCACAGGGTTTACTGGGAGAGCTGAGGCGTGGGTGAAGGGAGCTAGAGGAAGCCTGGATCAGTCACAGCTCACAGAGCAGTTTGGGGGGAAGAGCGATTTATGGTAGAGCTGGAGACACTGCAGTCCTGAGCAGGAAAGCCCCGTTTTGTTGCACACTGTAATTCCCACTTTGCTGCCTCTGCCACTCCAGCTGCTCTGGATTTTGGGATATAGGCAGGCTTGATGGGCTTCGAGCAGGGCCATGTGAGCAACGCTCAGGCAGCACTGGGAAGACTGCAGAGCTTCCACTAGTAATTGTCATAGAATCATGGGATTGTTTAACTTGGAAAAGGCTTTCAAGATCATTGCATCCAACCATTACCCCAGCACTGCCAAGGCCACCACCAAACCATGTCCCTTAGCACCACATCTACATGGCTTTGAAATCCCTCCAGGGATGGGGACTCCACCACTGCCCTGGGCAGCCTGGGCCAGGGCCTGACAACCCTTGCCAGGAAGAAATTGTCCCCAATATCGGATTTAAACCTCCACTGGCACAACTTGAGACTGTTTGCTCCTGTCCTATCACTTTTTCCTTGAGAGAAGAGGCCAATTCCCCCAGGCTCCAACGTCCTCTCAGGCAGTTGTAGAGAGCAAGAAGGTCTCCTTTCAGCCTCCTTTTCTCCAGGCTGAACACCCCCAGTTCCCTCAGCTGCTCCTCATCAGACTTGTGCTCCAGACCCTTCCCCAGCTCCACTGCCCTTCTCTGGACACTTGTGCTCCAGACCCTCATTGTCCTTCTTGTAGTTGGTGCAATAACTCAGCAGTGACGATGCCATCTCCTGGAAACAGGAAGCCGAGGCCTGTCCAGTCAGGAATAGCTGTCACTCAGGTCCCAGGACCAGCTGGAAGGGAAGAAAACATACTCCAGGAATGCAAAACCCTTCCAGCTGAAGGAAATCCTCAACCTTCAGCAGCACCACTAGGGTTTCCAGGTGGTGATGAGTGAACGGCCAGATCTCTGTGTCCTCAGGGGTATTTAATGAGTTGTACTCTCGGACAGATGCCTGAAAATTCAGATTTGCCCCTGATCCTGAGGTGAGAAAATACACTAATTTATTTTTGGGGTCTTAGAGTGGCTTCTGAGCTCAGGGCAGTGACACTAAGAGGGTGATGGAGGAAGAGGTGACCCCAGCAGGGGAAAAGGAAGGTCAGTGCTGGTGGAGAAAGAGCACTTCTCCATCACAGATTGGGTCTGGGACTGCCCAGCCCTCGGGAGGGATTGGGAAGCAGGATGGAGAGACTTTGCATTGCCCAGGGGAGGGAGAAGGGTGGAGGTGCTGTTTAAGGTCTGCTCTGCCACCTAATGGACAGGGAGCACTGAACAAGAGAGGTGAGGGTGTCTGCGGTGATTGTGTCTGAGGCATGTTCAGTGCATGATGGTGGGGCTTGGGGTGGCCATCACTTGCTATAAACTGTGGCCCTCTCCAGCCAGTGTATTTTTACGTAGGATCAGAGACTGATTGTCCTAAAAACAAGCTTCAAAGAGGCCATAAAGGGGCCTGGGGTTCTGTATCACACCCTCTCCTTGCAGATAGCATGGTCATTGCTGTTTGCAGGACACCAGCTGCTGCCCAGAGGGGTGGGTATCACACAACGTGCTGATAAGCTGTGGAGCTCCTAGTGATATAAAATATCACATGGTTCAAGGGGAGGTTGGACAACTGTTTGGAAGGAAAACCCAACAAAGGTCATTAAATACATAGAGGCCACATCCATGATGCAGTCGGTTTCAGACGGGAGGGTGTTTGGAGGGGAAACCTACACGCTTCTGTTCTTGCCCTGCCTGCACCAGAGCCTGGAGTCATGGAATCATGGAATGGTTTGAGTTGGAAGGAACCTTAAAGATCATCTAGTTCCCACCCCCTGCCATGGGCAGGGACACCTCCCACCAGACCAGGTTGCTCCAAGCCCCATCCAACCTGCCCTTCAACACTGCCAGGGATGGGGCAGCCACAGCTGCTCTGGGCAACCTGGGCCAGTGTCTCACTATCCTCACAGCAAAGAATTTCTTCCCAAAATCTCATCTCAATCTCCCCTCTTGCAGCTTGAAACTGTTCCCCCTTGTCCCATCACTCCCTGCCCTCGTGAAAAATCCCTCCCCAGCTTTCCTGTAGGCCCTTCAGGTCCTGGAAAGTGCTCTAGGGTTTCTGCAGAACCTTCTCTTCTCCAGGCTGAACAACCCAAACTCTCTCAGTCTGGGAATATCAAGTTGAGTTTGCCCCAAATTCCCACTTTCAGTCACAGAATTCCCTGCCTGTGGCTGCCATGATAGGCTGGGAGCTGGTGCAGGGTGACCAGGGGGCTGGTGAGGAGCCCATCCTTGGGCTCCTTGGTCTCCATGGGGTGCTTCTCTGCCCTTTTGCTCCCCTCCCTGTGTCCATGGCAGTCTCCTGACACGCTCCCCCCCCCTTTCCCCTGCCTGCAGCACGAGGACGCCGCGGTGCGGAACCGCAGCCTGAGCCAGCGGGTGCAGGACCTGGAGCAGAGGTACAGCCAGGCCAGCACCCTGCAGCACATCCAGGCCACGCTGCTCTACGACATGCAAGCCCAGATCAACAACATCTCTGTCCTGGCTGACTGGGCCTGGAGAAACCCACCCTGCCTGGGCCCCGCCGAGATGAGGCTGCAGGAGGAGATGCACCCTCCAGGTGATGGGGAGATGCTGGGGATGACTGGGCGGGGAGGCTTTGCTCTTAGTGCCTCTTTTGAGGGGGGTGTAGAACCAAGGGAAACCCCTTTGCATTGGCTAAGAGCCTCATCTCACCCAGCCTGCCTTTCTGAGGCAGGCAGGAGGGCTCCTCCAAGCAATGGACACCTCTGGAGATGGCTTCCGTGCCACCTAAGAGAGGGGCACTGTCCACTGGTGGCTGCTGTCTCTCCATGGATGCTGTGAGATGCTCCCAGGGATCAGCTCAGGCTCTGACAAGCAGGTTGGCATTGCTCCTACCATGACCCCTCTTGCCCTTGGCTGCATGAACCTTCCTCCCAGCTCCAGGGACTGTTTTTCCCTTACAAACAAAGAAATAAACAAACAAACAAACAAAAACATCACCACCACCACACACACACACACACACACACACACACACACCCCGATTTTATTTTTATTCTTCAAAAAGCTTGAAATTTGGGCTTTAGTGAAACTCTTCAACTCTGAAAAACAATTATTTTTTTGTTCTTTCCCACATGCTCTTTTTTTTAACAAATGCTTTTACATTTTTGCCAAATTTTTGGTTGTTTTCCTCGTTAGTGCCTGGAATGTTTTCTTTGGCTTTTAGCAAATACGGGAACTTTTAATTAAAGAACTTGAGCTTCAGTTTGAACCGTTTCCTGCCAAAGAACATTTTGACCAGGGCCTACCATAGTCAGGATCTGCAAAGCTCAACCTTGGGGTGCTGAAAGGGAAACTGAGTTGCTTTTGCAGCTTATTCAAGCCTCTGGGTCCATGGCAAGGGGGTGGTGGTCTTCCTGAAGACAAGACAAGATGTGCCAGTTTGGTACCTGTGCCCTAAGTCCCATCTCCTGCAGCAGATGTCCAGGAGGAACATTGGAGAAGCATGAAGTGATACTTCTGAGTAGTATCCCAGCCTATGGTGAACCGTGGTTGAGAGACTTCAAAGCCAGTGTGTGTCTTCTGCATCAAGGAGTGGGGTCGATGGGATGATCCAGGCAGATACTGAATTGCTAATGGCTTTCACCTACCATCCTTGGTCTGATATGAGCTGGTGACATATCCAGGAGACCTCTCCCTTGAGCCAACTAGTCCAGGTCTCTTCCACTGCACTTGTTTAAAGCCCTTTTGACCATCCATGTTGTGGCAGAGGTAGCATAAACATCTTCACTGGTACCTGCTTCCAGGTGCCTCTGAGCCCTGAGCAAGACATGCTCTGTGCAAAACTAGAATGTCAGAATTGATGTCTACACCTATGACCACTACCTGCAAGCCAGAGCTGGGACGTATTTCAGTAACTTGACGAAACCAGGATGGTGACTTCTCCAGCCTGGAGAAAGCCAGCCCAAGTGCAGCTGGTTGATGCAGCACTTTCAGTTGATTAACTTAAGATGGGCTCAGGCTCTGCCTCCTATCCCACATGCTACAGGGTCTGGATTGTCTCTCCTTGACCTCTGCCTCCTACACACAACTGGTTTCTCCCACATGTGCAGCAGCACAGCCAGTTGATATCAACCACAAAGCATGTCCCCAGTCTGTCACCAGTCTCAAGTGACAGACCTCCTGGCCACCACGGTCTCCACTTGGTGGGCTGGGATGTTGCAAGTCTTCATCCATCATTCCCTCCAGGATTTACTTTCCTTTCCATCCACAAGGAGTTTTCATAATCTGCCAGTCAGTCCCATGGTCTCATCCTATCTCTGTACCTCCTGGAAAGGCAATCTCCCATGCATGCTTCCTTCTCCCTCCCTTCCTTGGGTTCCTGGTCCTCCCAGTGATCTCAATCTGGTTTGGAGGCCACGATGTGCTACAGGCTGGTCTAGCTGGGTGTGTAAAAGGAAGGGGAGTTGCCTTTGTGCCTTCCTTTTTGAAGACAGGATTCATCCCAGCAGGGAGGCTGAGCTCACAGGTGGAGATGCTCATGTTGGGTGTCCACATAGGCACGTCCCCATGTGAGCTGGATATTTAAGACAATGAGGCAAACAGTGCATGGACCTAGAGCAGTTCCATGCACTCTTT